TTTATTCTATCGAACAATCAATCAGAATTAGTTTGTTCTATATGCATGATCATGCTGCAGAAAAGTTGTCATTATTGTTTTAGCGTAGAATAGTGTCACATCATAACACAATAAATTTCAAATCATCATCGCATGTCTACTAACTAGGCAATACACGCAATTTGATTGGTTATCATGGGAAAAGTGAATCATATGCATAAAATTCATATCGAATATATATATATAAGTGAAGTCAAAGAAACAATTTCACTTGATAATCATTTTCATTATCAAAATAAAAAGAACCAAAAATTTATACACTCATAGAACACTTGAAAATGTAATACATAGACAGCATAGTGTATGGTCGGAGATTCTTTCTTTCTTTCTTTTTTTTTTTGTTAACAGAAATTCTATCATACAATAAAACATATACACACACACAAAACAGAAAAAAAAACATAGATTTGACTCGAATTTTTTTTTTTATTTGATATCTTCAGGAGGTTTTTTTGTTAATATTGGACTTGAACTTCTTATTGTTTGTTGATTTTCATTTAAATCAACTAGATCATTATCATTTGGATTTATTAAAGATTTTGTTCGTTTAACTGTTGACATTGGTTTAAGAAATAAATCAGAACTTAAACGACGTTTTGATAATAATTGATCACCAGTTAATTGTGGATTTATTGATAATGATGAAGAATTATTTTGTTCATATGCATTTATTAATTGAAGTTCTTGTTCAACAAAAAATTTTTCTAAATAATCACTAAAAGACAAAATATTCTATATGTAAAAATAATAAATAAACAATACAACTTACGTAACATAAGGATGTAAATGAAATCGTCGTTTTTCAACACGATTTTGTCGAACAAATACATCATGACGAGCTGATTTTTTCCAAATATAATAAAAAAAAACAAGCTCATACATAGTACGATTTGGAATCTAAATTTATATAAATAAATAAATATTTATTTTTATATAAACATAAAAAGAAAAGCGTCGTAGTGCAGACCTTTTAGGACTTATATATAGAAATTGCATGTGTTCTCTAGCCTTATTATATTAATACAAAGTACATTAACTAGAAAATCTCTAGAAGACTACAATTCTTTTCTAAAGATAATATGGTAAGAAAAATGAACTGTTGCATTTCGAATAGAATTTTTTGTCTTTTTTTTTCTTTACTTGAGCTGTTGTTCATTTTCGTAGTCAATGTTTCTTAATTTAAAACTATTATTATTCTAATCATTGGTTTAACTGGCGAAAAAGGCTGTTGTACATACCCATTACATCTATCGTAGGTATCAACATACTATTATTTATCTCAATAATCTTAGAAGCACTAATATTGATTATTTCTCACGATTGTAACTTGATCAGTTCACGCTTTTTATGTTTATCATACGATGACTATGACGAATCAACGCATCATCACCCTATCATCCGTAACATCTTGAATATAAACTTTTATCTGTGCAAAAATCAACAACTGTACTATTTCAAACATTCATTAGCGTATCGCAGCTATTCAAATTTTGAGGAAGGCTTCGAACTGTTCTAGAAGAGTATAAACCTTGCTATTAATGTCATTCAATACCTTTTTCTTCCATTGCTAAAGAATTCCAGCAAAGGAAATTTGACGCATGTCGGTTTCGACTTCTATGGACATGTATAGTACTAGTTTTAAGTTATGTTTTTTTCTTGTTGTGTGTGCATTTAGTTATACTTGTGATTTCTTTGTTCTTTGTGCTCATTTCATTTTTGATCATTATTAATCGCTTTCTCGTTAGTTACAATGATTCACTCTTCAGTGCACACTTATCTGTGTCACCGATACTTATCTCATTAAACCTTTCTTCATCGTACACATCATTACTTTACTACTAAACTTCTTTTTGACTGCTATCTTCAGTCAACCACTTTTCATCTATTCATATTGTTCGTTTTCTCTGTCTTCTCTTGATAATTATCATTTTCTTTTGTTGTATATCATTGGTGAATCATCATTCATCTTCCAATCAATTTATCATCATTTTCTCGTGTGTCATGCAAGTTCGCATCCTGTGGTATCTTCGTGAGAGATCAAAAACATTCGACTTACAACTTACATTTACTATATTTGTTTTTACGAAAAAAGATAATGTGAATTTCACAAGAATAAAATAATCATTTACCTTAAACATTGAAAAATCTTTTCCATATTCTTTAAAACATTGTTCAAATTGATCACATTCTGTTAATGACCATGTTGCTGACGAAACTAAAAAGAAAGGAAAACATTCGAACAATGAAATGTTTTTTTGCCTTTTTTTTCTAAATATACAATAATTTTTATTAGTTGTTGGTAAACGAAGTTTATCTAAAGCTTGATCAATATTATAATTGGTTGATAGAAATACTTCAAGTACAATTTCTTGATCAGCTGTTCGATCTATTATAAAATAATATGAAAATAGAAACAATGTTCTTTTTTTTACGTTTAAATAAACATACGTTCTTTAGCAGCTAATTTTAAATATTTATTAACTAATGAAGAATTTTCATCTTGATTTGTATCTAAAGGTGGAGACCACAGTAATTGATCATTAGATAGCTCTAAAAAAATTTGAAAGATTTAAAAAAAATTTTTTTTTTGATTAACTATTTATCGCCAACCTTGATCATTGTGATCGGTTGATATAAGTAAATCAGGAACAACAGCTTGATATTGATCACCGACATTGATAGACTAGAAAATGATGAATATATAATATAGTAAAATACGAAGAAAAAAATATTATTGTTACTAGGACTTTGAATAATTTATTCTAAAAATAATTAGGAATTACAAAATATGTCAAATATCAAATAAAAATATAGAATTGCATGTTTATTTTACATAGGAACTAGAACTATTGTTGTTAGTAACATGAGATTCATCGAGTGGCTACGTGTTACATTTGTAGACACGAAAACTTCGTGCATTTTTGCAATGCCTGTCTAAATAGAATTGTTGCTATCGCTGTGATAGACATCTCAAGTTTAAGACTTTTGAGCGAATTTTTTTTCGTGTAAAATATCAACTAAAATGAAAACAAACATTCATTCACTGAATTAATTCTGATAAAAAGAAACTAAGAGTTTTCCTTTGCCATATGGATCAAGAAATAATTTTAAGTTATATTATATATTGAATACATCACTATAAGACTGTCTATTCGTTTTTTCATTGAACTAGAACCCATATTGGATTTGATTATTAGTTAAAAAGTAGCATGTTTTAATGCGCAAAAGTTATCTTGCTATTCTACAAGATTCGCTATGGAACTTGAATAATAATGTGTTACACAGTAGATTTCGAAGTCGAACTACTTTTTGACGGAGTGTTCGTTCCAGCTCAGAATAGCACTATTAAATGTGTATGTCTTTCACAAGAGGGTTTCTCTACTGTCTGAAACTCCATCATCATTGCAGTCATTTGGAAAGTGTATTATCAAAGTGATTATGAGTTGAATAAATTCGAACGATATTAATGCTTGAAAAAATGGCATGAGAAATACGTTAAATTACTAATTGAATCAAAAGATCAAGATGTTTTCGTGAGGACGCCACCTTCTTGAAGAGTGTCATTTATTAATGTAAGCGCTTTCACGAATGAAATGCTTGCCAATCAATATCAAAGAATCAGATGGGTTACTATTTTTAGTTGCACTTTTTGACTTCCGTAACATATACGCGACTTAATGCAATTGATACTGCACTCAATCTTATGTGTAGATGAAGGAGTTATCATTGAAGCGAATCAATGCTCTATTTTTATTTATTGTCTAAATGAAACTTATAAAATGTTCGTAAAGATTTCTAATTGTTATTGATTGTGAGATGCAAAGCTCACGTCAGACATTTCGATACAAAATCAATTAAAATGGCACTATTTATTCTTTATCTGTTTTATTACGTGAGAAATCTTCCTTGAAAAAACGAAATAAGATCACGCTGGACGACCTGATAGAAGTTTATGTCTTCTCGATCCAGCAAAAAAATATTTTCGGCCATGCCGAATAACCAATTTCGAGACTTATGAGACCATATAGAAAACTTTCGACAACATGTGATTGTTACAAAACATTTCTTTTTTTAGTATGATGAGGAAAAAAAAGGTTAACGAATTCCTCTCGATAAATGTTAATTGTCAAATTCTTTTTTTTTTGTATACATACTTTTTGCCAATAAAATGAAAATGATGAATCATCAATATCTTCTTCGTCACCGTTTTCATCTAAAATAATTTTAAAAAACTTTATATTGAATAAACTTGTTGACTTTGTTTTTCTACTTACTTGAATTTGGATGTTCAGCAATTAATAAACGTTGATAACCACTATCTTCTTCTTGATCAGTGGAATCGTCACTAGATGTACTAATTTCTTCTTGTTTTGATGTGGGTATATTTGCTATATTAGATGAACTAGTATATAATTTTCTTAAATCTTCAATGGGCATTTCACTTTCCTAAATGTTAATAACAAAAACAGAAAATAATCTGACATTTTCTTTTTCATTATTGAATATCTGGTCTTACAACTGTTAATTTGACTATTTCTGTTTGATGAAGTTCACTGGTGACAGATGTTTGTTGTTCTTCTTTTATGACTTCTACTTTAATTTTATTCAACGTCTGTTCTTCATCATTATTTTCTATTTTTGGTTCTTTTAATAATTCTTCTGATTCATTTTGTATTTCAGCCATTTATAAATTTTGTCTAAATAATCTAAGATAAATATATACGTCGTAATTTTTTCGCTGAAATATTCTTGATTAAAAAATTTTTATTTTTCAAGCCAAAAAAACAAACAAGACAAAGTATAATATTACAATGTTTTCATTACAATAAAATGTGTTTTTACAAAAACTAAGAGGTATATTCAAAATGATGAGAGCCGATCATATTCTGCTGCGGGAGTAAAACGTAATATATATGTGAGACGAATATATTAAGTAAGCTCGTTTATTATATTAGTCATTGTCAATATGTCGATGATTCAGCAGCAAGATCTGGTCGAACGAACCGTTTAAATGAACCGACCATATATCGAAACTAAATAGGAAAAAAAAATGTATATATATATATATATATATGAAACTATCAATTCTAATAAATTAAATTATCTCACAGCAATAAAAGCAACCGTAGTCCCTAGAATGGCACCACCAAGAACATCTGTAGCATGATGACGATTGTCCGTAATACGTGTAATACCTTAAAAGAAAAACAAAAATCAATGAATATCTTGAAAAAAGATATAATCAAATTAAATACGTACCAATATATGAAGCTAAAGCAAAACAACCCATTTCCATCAGATATGGAAATAGACCAAAATTACGATAATTCCAGACTTTATGAATATAAAACTACAGAGAGAAACAAAGAGTGATTAAATATTCGTAAAAAAAAAAACAAAAGATAGAAAAATAAGATCTTTACAGCCAAAAAGATTAAACCACAGAAGGCTGATGATGCATGACCCGATGGAAACGATTGACTATAAAAGAAAAAAAAAGAAATCAATATTTTTCTTCGCAGGAATATGTGATATTCTCATTTATATATGAACTATATAACTTGAACATAATTTTTTAAACTAAAAACATTCATTTTAGTTTGTTAAACATTCGATCCTTCAACTATTATTCAACATCTAAATTATGAGTGAAATTATTTATTTGTTTATGTTTTCAATTATCTGTAAAAATTGAATCAGAGATTCCATATCAAGTCCACACAATGCCGTTTGTCGATTTAATGATGTTATCGCTATATATTTGAGTATTTAACTTAAGATTATAATAATAAGTTTATTTAGTGGTAGTAAAAACTTCTTTGCGTTTTAGCTCTATTTTGTTTATTGATTTTCAACTTAAATATTGTTCTCTTAGACTAATGCATTCATGGTGTCATTAAAGATTTATAATTTCTGCTATATGTAAGGACATTTAGACGAATTATGAAAACGTTCATCAATAATGGTTATCACGATAGATGTAGATCTGGCAAATAAGTATTAAAAAGTCATAAACGTCATTCTATTATCTTCAATTGACATGAAAGTCAATATTTGAGTACATGCAACAGTTTGATATAATGTTTTAATTTAGTGTTGTGCACAAACTGTCTTTGTAAATCGTATAGTGTCTTTTACTATCTTAAATTATGCGTGTTTACACTAGTGGACTTGAACAGAAAAAAAAATTAATAAAATAAAAGACTAAAGATTCATTGAATAAAGTTGTACCAGCTGTCAAGTTTCAGACTAATAACCTACATGACATTTCAACGAGAATCTTTATCGATTTCAAATAAAATCAACGAACCAGATCATAGCTTATTTATGATCGTACTTTCTTTTATCTTTTATATTTTAAATAAAATTTAAAAGAAAAGAATATTCTCTATCATAAATTTTTTCGCTTTTATTTTTTCTATCATATTCAACATACCGAATATCATAAGCACCATCTTTTTCTTTAATAGCACTACTTAATTCTCCAAGACATACATAATCAACAATCCAATGATTTGGATCACCACAAAAGTCTTTATAAGAATATTTTTGAAAACATGATGGAATAAAATGTGGTCGTAATCGACCAACAGCGACTTTGCCAATATTAGTTAAAAACGAATTAGCACAATTAGCAAAAAGAAAAACACCTAAATAAAACAAATAATACTTCATTTTGATTTTAATAAATAATATAAACATACCAATGATAATATAAAGATTTCCGAACCATTCTGGAATCTTATAAACTTTTGTACGAATTTGAAGTTCATAAACTACTTTAGCTACTTTTCTACGATGTAAATAAAACCAACGAATAGTTTCCGATAGAAAAATCTAAATAGAAAAGAAAATGTATAAAAAAATCTAATTGACATTATTGAAGTAATATAACATACAACCACTAATGGTATAATAATAGCACAAATAAATAAAAGCCAAGTTGGAAAAACTTTTTTTTCTGGTGGTGGATGATATAAATTTAAATCTGAACATAAAAATGCTCGTCGAACTGGTTTAACAAAATATTTAAAAATTAACCATGCAGAAAGTACTAGTTTACAAAAAAAAAAAACTTAACTATTATATCAAATAAATATGAATCATACCGATTATAAGTGCAAGACCATCGAAGACTATTTTTAATAATGAAACTGGTTTTAATATTTTTTGATTATTAGAACCCCTAAAAGAACATGAATTCATATGTAAGAGAAATAAATATTTTTAAAAAATAGAAGAACAAAAAGAGACCTGTGAATATTCGCCGCCGACATCTCCATGGAAGTATATGAAATAGTCGAACCTTCTTGTTTTAGTGCATCACTACTCATTTCTTTTTTTTATTGTGAATGACAGAACGGGTTAACATCTAGTTACTTCTTCGATGGTATTCTCCTGTCTTTTTATTCTGTTCTTCCTGTATGAAGAAAGAAGAAAGAGAAAAAAAATACCTTAGTATTGCTACGTCCGGTTTATGAAGCTGCTTGGTTTCGACTGATTCATCGTCGTATTGCTTTTGACGTGATGAATAACTATTCATTTTTTGTATATCTTCGCTTGATGATGATTTTCGATGACGGTATAAAGGAACACGTTCAGGTTGTTGTTCTACACCGAGTGCTATATCTGAATCACTTTCCGCCAATGCGAATATATATTTTATTTAAAAGAAAATAAAATCTATAAACGATTGAAAAGATTTCTTTTAGTACAATATTTATTTTTATTTCAAAGTAAAATAAATGAATATATATATATAAATGTTTATTCATTGGCGTGTCGATCCCAATCACTCTGACCTGAATTGTTACGATAAGCATGATTTGCTGATATTCCTGCATTTTGTAGGTCTGTTGGGTTTGTTTTATTAGAAACTCCGATATACGGTAAAAAACGTGGACTATAATGACGCCAATTAAGAATAAATCTAAATGTTGCAAAAGCAATTAATGATCCAACTATACCACCAACAAATACATCATGCCAGTGATGATGAAAATCACTTATACGTGTATATCCTATTAAAGTATAATTTCCACAAATAAAACATAACTTTTTTGTTTTTACTTACCAACATAACATCCAAGGATAGCAATACCAACTTGAAATAAATGACCAAGAATACCAAGATGACGCCAAGACCATGATATATGTATATACATAATTAACCACGTAAAGCCAACTATTATAAATACATAATAATAAATATTATATTTTTACGACACAAAAAACCTTACAAAATAGTGGTGCAGTATGTCCACTAAAGAAAGATCGACTAGAAAAAAAATAAACATAAGTACCATTTCTTTATTATTATATATATAAACATACCGTGCTTCTCGTACACTTGAATCATCTGTACTTTGACATGTATAATTATTTCCATATTGTAGATAAGAATTAAATTGATATAATGATGTTAAACTTGCACAATCAAGGGTTGGCTGACATACAGCAAGAAAATGTGGTCGTAATTCTCCAACAAAATTTTTTGCTATTTCAGTTAATACCCATGTTGCAAGGTAACCATAAGCAAATATCACTGATGTGGAAAAAAAAAGGTGGAATAGATTAATAAGAAAAATATGAAAATATTAAAATACCAGTAAGAATGTATAAATTACGAACGATTGGTGGAATATTTATTGGTCTTCCGCTACATACTTCTAAACGTATTCGATATGGTGTTTTGGGATATTGTTTAAAATAGCATAGTTTACAAAGTTCTGTAAACCACATCTACATGAAAATTATATTTAGGATTTTGTTTTCTTTTTTTGAGACATATATATATTTATATTACCCATACAACGGGAAGGACAATTGAAAGAATAACTGCAGCATACGTTGGTATAGTGTTGTCTTTATATGGATATTTTATCGATGTATCCGAACAAAAGAAACCACGTGTAAAAGGTTTAGCAATATAATGCGATATAACCGTTATAGTAGTTACTGAAGAAAAAAAAACATTATAATTATGTTACTTCTCTTGAGAAAATATCAATTTTACATATTGCAAGGCAAACAATATCAATCATAACACGCCATATAGTTTCAGTATGATCACAATGGTCAGTTATTGTTGATGGTTCAGCTGCAGTGACAATTGTCTGTGGCGATGGCTGATTTCGATTCCAAGCTTTCATTGGTGACTGACTGGTATAAACACCGTTGCTCGGCTGTTGTTTTGACATGACTGTTATTGAATGAAATGCAGACGTAAGAAACAAGAGAGAGAAGTAAAAGAACGATAAAATAGAAGTGCAAAGAATGAGTTTTTTTTCTTCATGTCGCATAAAACTAAAAGAAGCGTAACTAACAAAATCTCGCTCGCTTTTTCTTCTTTTGCTAAATAATTACATCTAACATAGAGCAGGCAGTAAAGAAACAACGTCAACGTAGTTCGAATAAAATAGCATTATATAAAAAGATCTTTAATTATCAATAACAAAGATGGCGAATGGATGATCGTCTCAGCTAAACATAAAAATGTCATTGAGAGTAAAAAAAAAATAAATTGAAAAATATTTAATTGGTCATAGATGTTTTAAATAAAGAATATAAAGGAAAAACTTAAGTTCTACATAAAACTTCCATTTATTGTCAAATAAGTAGAACATCTCTTGTTTTTCTTTTTTCATAGAAAGCTATTGGACTGCCATATCGCTGCTGCAACTAATCAGAGATAGACTACTTTACTTTACACATCTCGGGACACATTTCTTCACCTTCCTTTTACGACATTCTCAAGAAATGTGATAACGAGGAGTGAGTCCAAATGTTTACTCTATGTACCTCAACATACCATTTGAATCGTGTTTTATAGAAAACATAATGAAATTATCAAGAATATGTATGTCACTTAAATTTTTCATAAAGCACATGATGAAATTCTCTGATTGATCGATTATTATGATTCTGTTATATCGTTCAAAAGAAATCTATCACGATTTGATAAAGTTATATCGATCAGTTGGAATTAGAACTCATAGAAAGCAATAGATAGATTCAATGAATAGGAATCGAAAATTTAGATTTCTTCATCGAGTTATGCGTTAAGCAACTTACATTCTCAAAATAAAACTCTAACGTGCCAATTAATGGCATGACAAATGTAAATTATATCGTCACTTGATAATAGTCAAAACTGCGAAGTATGTAAAGTGAAAGAGAACAATATTCTCGCTTTATTTCTTTCATCGAAACATTTAAATAATGAGTAGAGGCTATTCGCAATTACAATTATTGCTAGAGTTGATGGAATTGTCGTCTTTACTGTGAATTATGCCAACACAAACTTTTCTCTAATATAAATTATGGTTTTTTTTCATATTTGTTTACTTTAAAAAGTTTTCATTACATTAATGTAATGCTCTTTCAATATTAAATAATTACAATCGAATTCAGACTAGATGAGAAGATAGTTGACTATATGAGCTTCGAATATGTTAATATGTAATCTAATATACTAGAATTATCAATATGTAAATCTGTTCTATTCATATCGGCACTCTTGTCAAAAAGCTTGTTTTTATTTGAAAAAAAATAATCAATAGGTATTGGATATTCTAAAAATTTACATCGAATTCGTCTCTTTTGATTGATTTATGTTTATAATATTTATCTATTCGAATCAATTTCCTCAATTTTTTTCCTAATACTTTAGAACGAACTAAATTTGCTTTTCTACAGGGTGAGCCATAAGTTTTGGGCCCTCTCAGAAAAATTGCGCTTTCTCCCTTATAACAAACCCAAAAAAAGCTCAAACTTTGGTATATGATCTATAGTAATATTATGAATATTATGCTAAATTTTCATGTGCCTATCTCTACAAATAAGGGAGATATACATATTAAAATTTTAGAAATTTTGTTTTCCATGTCTTAAAAACAAAAAATCATCGAGGATTTGCATGAAAACATGAAGAAAAATGCACAAATAATGCTATCATAATAAATATATTCTAGAAGAATTATGTGGAATAGAGTTACATCAGAATAGCAATTAGATGTCTGTAATCTAGTTATGTAGTTGCCTTCAATACTGATTGATTTTAATTAGACTTATGAACAGCGCTCGTTATTCGTTTATGAGAAATTTTCATCAAGATTTTCCATTGTTCAATTGTTCTTTCGTTATTTTACCTTTGACGTTTTGCTTCAATTTTACTGTTTTTATCAAAGATTTATGTTCCAAAAATATAAATAGCTGATAGAACAAATTTTGACTTTACATGATTTACATAAAAGATGCTCACCAAGTGATATTACCGATGAATTACAAAACAGTGATTGTTCACCACCATAAACAAGACGTTCTCTCGTTCATTTTATAAACTATACACTCAGAAGAGGCACAATAAATACAAGAAAGAGATCTAGAACACCTAGAACAATCAGAACAAGAAGATTTATATCATTAGTCAAATGCAATATTGAAAATAAAACAGAAACAATCGATTAGAAAAACAATTAGATCAATGAGAGGAAAACAAAGAAAGTCTTCTGATGGTAGTGTACACCTGGCAGAAACGTATGATATTGGAATAAGACCTTCGAAAATAACACGATCATAGAAAATTAATTCTACACAACGATATTGAAGAGTAAGAAATGCAAAAGAATTACTATGAAAATTTGAAACTAAACCAACAAGATCAAATTCAAGATGAAAACCTTTAATAAATTGACACTATTTGCGATTGCATTTTGAGTAAAAACTAATTATTGAATACTTTACTTGTGAATAAAACATTGTTTTTTGCTTTTGGGACATGGAAAACAAAATTTCTAAAATGTTAATCTATATATCTCCCTTATTTGTAGAGATAGACATCTGAAAATTTAGGATAATATTTGCCGTGTTACAAGGGATCATACGCCAAAGTTTGAGCTTTTTTAGATTTGTTATACGGGAGAAAGAGCAATTTTAATGAGAGGGCCCAAGACTTATGGCTCACCCTTTATCTATTGATTATTATCGTTTCTATTCGTTGGTCGATATAAGTCATATCGAAGTTTTTCTAGATGTTTAAGAGTTCATCATGACTAATTTTAAGTGACATGCAACTGTAATTAAAATATATACGCATCCGTAGAAAGAAAACATCATGTGTTAATTATTGTTTTTCACATATGTGTGTCATCCTAATGCCGTTGAATTTTCAAAAACAAAAGAGTTTCATATGTACAGACGCAGATTTCTCGATTGGTGAATAGGTTCTCCTTATCCAAAAAGGCTTGAATTTTTGTCAATTGTTTACAGCTGCGTCTTAATTTTAGACAGAAATCGAATTTCGAAACGACATTTGCCTTTCTCTGGCATAGAAGAAAATAAAAATAAGTAGGCAATACTGTTGCAGAGTGAATAGAATTGGGAGAAGGAATAGCGTCTCGTCAGATCTGTGTGAGTTCCGTTCTTTTCTTCGGTCGTCACTTCTAGCGCTTCAAAGATCAAAGTACTCTCTACCAAAATTTTTCAAGTCCTACATCTAATGTCCAAAAATAACTTAATAATTCTGCACTGATGCTGCGAACGAGTGGCTAATTTGAATTGTGGCTCATGCGTCGCGCGGAAGAAAAAGAAAAATTTGTCATGGAAACTATGTAACTAAAAGGCAATAAATCGGCTACTGTATTCTGTGCAGTCGGCTGCTTTAAACATGACTATCAAAAACAAAAAGGAAAAAAACAATTCTATTTATAATGAGAGCATGAGATTTTACGATGTTTGACGAGCTTCGCGCTGTGAAGCTTAAACAAACAGTAGTCACTCAATTTTCCAACTGAGATCAACAATCGAAATTTCTTTATACCTTGATGCAATTTCGAATGTCGATAATATAAGATTCAGGACAAATTTTTTTCGTTGTATTTTCTCAATATCTATGCCAGTTTTTATTTTGACTAATTAAACTTTGTCTTAAAAGATTTCGTGTTCAACTTTTTACAAAACCACAGATAAATGTGTGCCATAGAAGTAAAAGCAAAAAATCTACCGCATAAATATTATGAACAGTTGCCTCAAGAACAAATATGTAAGCTAATCTGCTCTTTCTTCCCACTAGTGAAATGCTGTTTCAACGCTTCAAGGCATCATGTCTAATACAATCAAGGGTGCTTAATTTCATAGCACATAGGAAAAAATGTATGAAGGTAAAATATCGATAGAGAATGTACTGTTTGGACAACAGGTTCAAATCTGTTATATACGATTTCTTTTGTTTAAACTAATCAAGCAGACAAAGTATTCATTCGGAATTCGGTGGGCTTCTGCAACATGACTTAGTAGCATTTCAATAAAAAAAAAACAATTTTGTTCCGAAAAAAGAATTTATGGTTGATTTAAATTATTGAACAAAATGAAGTACTAGGGTACAAAAACAGTTCTTTTGTGAATAGCTAAAAAAAAATAGTACAGCTTACTTTGTTCTCCAGAGACTGTTTGTAAATATGAATCAGTCACTTTTATCCGCACTTTGCTTTCGTCAAGGATGTTTTTCATCTGTTCCCACATCATCGAAAGAAATTTTTAACAATAATATGTCACGATGAATTCATTTGTAATCGAAAACGAGTTTTCATTGAATATGATTCATTGCATCTATAATATATTATTATAATTAATTAGTTGTCTACCAAATCAATTCATTACTATCTGAATTCGCTACTATCTCAGTTGCTTGTGAAACCGATTAAATCTCTTGTTTATTTAGAAGTAGATGCCACCAGAAGAAGGTTTCATCTATTTTACTACATCTTGCTGAAGTTTCAATAGTTAGATTTCAAAGTATTCGCGGCAGGTTGTGATTTAGTGAATATGACTGCACGTGTACGTAAAGCGGATATCAGTGTTAAGAGGAAAACGTCCACATCTTTTCAGAAATACTTGTGAATATAACTATTGAATATCCAACAAAATGTAGAGATTGTATTACCACAACGAGTCTTTTCAATAAAAATTAAGACAAATGAAAGTTTCTTCTGCAGCATGTATTTTCAACCAGGCAACTGATTTAATCGACGTGGTAACAAAATAATTAACTATAATAGTTTGTTATATATACACTGGATCACATTTGATCTAGGCTCGCTCTCGATTATGAATTTATTCAGTGAAAATGAAAATTAGGATAGAAATCAGTGAACCTTATCTACACAATAGAGAGTTTGCAATCCTGAGAAACGGTTAGTTC